TAGATAACCACATAACGCCCCGATAGGTTAGGCGTGGTATTGAACCGGCCGATAGCAGAGCTGCCTACCACCAGTAGTGCTTCTCTGACTCGCTGTTCTCCACATGGCTGTCGGTGATGCAACTGGAGGTCATGTTTTTATGGTGTGAATGGATGCTTTCAGTACTTACTGTGGTTGCTTTCATCCACTTCAACCGCAAGTCGAGCAGTCGCTCGCAACCCCAATCGCCTTTTAATTACTTTTTAACTGATCACACGACTTTATAAAGGCCCTCTTTCCAAGATGGTAGATACTTTGTCATCGATATTTCGCGCTTTGTTTTGCTCATCGTCACTGATTTGGTCGCTCTTCACGAACGTGACGCTTAGTTTTTTTGCAATGAGATTCTTTCCATCCATAGATTACATGTTCATAAATTTCCATGTTTACAATTAAATCTCTTAAACAACATAGATTTAGGGTTCTGGTGTTTTAGGTTCTGGTATTTAAGGGAACGGAATACTATGGAGGTCTGTTGGACAAAGTGATGCAAGCTGACAATGTAGCCAATGAGTTTTATTTAACAGGTTCACTTAGCAATCGTGGGAACAGAATGTTTCAGGACAAAAATGGACCTCGTTAGTTGACGGCTATAAAACAACCATCGTACGTTACGAGGTTTCACTGTGAGATACCAGATGATGACCCAACCAGTGACCAGACAAATTTTTATCACTATTGAATTGTGGACTAGCACTGTCACTTGCACTTTTACGTGCTAGTGTCATCACTCGAGACTGCAGAACTATTTTTGAGCCGGAAAACTTGCTTTACATTACCGTTATTCTGAGAGATCCACGTTGAGATTGGAGTGTGTGATAGGCAAACCGAGTATGTGATGCATGAATTTTATTCTTTTGAAGAGTAGACATGTTTTTGGTAGTGTATATTGCTACTAGCCATTCAGTGTACCTTTTGGTGTTGCTAATTGTCACTGCCAAATTTGCTCCGAAATCTGTGTGCACATCGTGATCACGTGATTTGATGCCAATTGATTGGCAACTTGTTTATTCAGTCCGATCGTGTGTGAGGCGTCATCACTGTCTATGTTACTGATTTACTAGTTCTTCGAATTCTCTGCTACGCAGTGATCATCCGTCATTTCAACACACACGCACACGCAAAGCGGAACTGTTGTGATTGTGCCATTCTAGCAGTCTTCTACCGAGGTTAAACGCGCATACCGTTGTCTAATCTGGCGAAGGTTGTGCATGCTACCGACAAAATCCAAACAAACAGAACTCGGTGAAAGTAAGAAAATTAGATAGAAAACTATCAGTTACTTATCAGTGATTTTACTGTGAATTTAAGGCATGACTCGTATCTGGTGGAGGCGAAACCGAGTCTCGTTTTCTCATGACAGAAATCACGCTGTACGACATTCGATGGCTGTGTCATATTTGGCGTATACCTGCCTATTGTCTACCTCTCCTCGCTCTTCGTACTTGTTAGCCGCGGCTGGAAGAAGCGATATGGTAACCAACCCACGAATTGGTGTAGGGTAAAAGGAAGTCGGCCTAAGTCGACAAACCCTGCTCTCTTGATTGAAGCCCATATTAGAGGGATTGTCGTTGGTTAAAGACGCCAATAAATAAAGCCCGAAATAGGAATCAGGGGCACAAATGATGTGCAGTTTCGTTGTTGAAATCCTGGATTCTACACAAACAGGCAAATATAAGAGAAAACATCAAATTGTGCTATGAATCACTCAAGAATATTCAGGTTCTAATTATGTGCTTTTTGAAAACTGTTTTCCCGTTTGTATCCAACTTCTTTCTTTTTCTATCTACTGTTACCACGTCAGTATCGTACTGGTGCATCAGTACGTTGTACCCCTCAAATTTTCAATTGATCCAAGTCGAATTATCAGTTTCACTACTGCAGGAACAATCAGTAGCTAAAAATCACTGAAACTTACCATCAATGGTCGTGTTTTTGTGCTTAGCTCTGGTGCCCATAATCTTCCTCCTATCCGTGCTCACTTGTATGCATCTCTACCGTGACTAAAACATAGACAGCGGTGGAATGTTCTAGGAACGGCAGAATGAGTCCAGTTAACACTGTTGACCAATATTAGATGGGGGTGACGGTTACGGAACGATCCAGTGCTTCCATTAGGGTTAAGGACTGAGGTCCATTTTTCAGTCGAGTGTTGAGGTGAGTACATACAGAAGCACGCGCATGAACGCACGTACAGACAAGTCAACGAAATGGCATGTAAAATCACGTAATACTAACTAGTTAGCGTTTTTCGAGTACGATTACTCAATATCAGAGACAAATTGCCCGATTGAGCGTTTGACTGAGTTATCAAACTGACTGGGCTGGTTGATCGAGGCATAACGTAAGCCTTTGAAGCAGATTGAATTGGTCTGGCTTCAACATTGCACTTTGCCCATAGCGAGTACGGTATACAAGCACACAAATATCTCATTAGTGAGAATGCCATTAAAAATTTACTGTGTGAAGGAAACGCCAAAAGAGAGGGACGCTTAGATTGTGTGTATTCACCAAAGCTGGGTTAATCGTATTTGAAACGAATGCAGTAGAATCTCGTGATAGTTATGAGCAGTGGTGAAGGCTGGTCCTATTACTACGCTCATCCATTCAAAATAAACCAACTTCTCTGTAACTAAACGAAAGTATTTTGTGAGGGAGTTTTGGTGGGATCTGATAGTTTTTTCATCAGGAACGTTATGTCCTTGGCCATTGATCAAGAAAACTTTAGAAGAGCATGAATGAATACGACGACTACTGACCTCACTGGGTTGGGGAAGCAAGCGAGCTATTCAAGACGGATCGGTACATCGATCCCCATGCGAACAAGAACCATTGCATAGTTAGGTTCAGCCTAGGCCCTCAATGTCTTGGTGAGTGAAATCCATCCGAGACCGCGGTTTCCCCGAATTTTATCACTTGTGTTGGTCCTTTATGCAAATTTTTGATCATTTGAATGCCGTGTTCGCAAGAACATTCACGTGAACACTCAACTATAAAGAAAGAGAACATTATTTTTATTGGATAGCAAATAATAGCTTTTATATTGTTATCTTCCGCTGAAAACTGGATTCCGTTCAATAGGCTCGTGACAATCCCCTAATACTGTTGCGTT